GGGTGCACTGGGAAGATGGTCTGTTCCCTTGCCCTGGGGACACCAGTTCGCCGGCGGGCTCTCTGCCCAGAATGTGGAGGCCTGGGCGTGGAGCTGGAAGCCCGCAGCCCTGTGAGGACAGGTGTCGGTCACCCCTCCCCCTTACACGTTCTCAGTGCAGTGCTGGTCACATGCGTCCAGGATGCTCTGGTTCAGCTCTTTCAAGGTGTCTATCTCGCTCTTCAGGCGACGTTTGTCCTCTTGCCAGTCCTTCTTCGCACGGGTGAGCGACTGAAACACAGATCAACAATGTCCTCAACACCACGGGCCCCTGTGACTCCACTGCTGGGAAACTGCTCCCAAAAGGAGAAAAGGGCCACGTGCATGAACATGGCCATTTCGGCATGAGCTTCACCAGTCGCAAGGACCAACACAGCCAATGACATGGGGATGGCCGAGTGCACCGGCCAGTCGCGCAGCCCTGCCCACGTGTGGCCACTGAGCACTGAAAACACAGCCAGTCTGAGCAGAGAGGCGCCATCAGTGCAAAATGTACAAGAGGCTCTGAGGACTTGACAGCCATTTTTAAAAAGAATGTAAAGTATCTCATTAGGAAGCAGCCCAAAGGGTGTGGCTCAGGTGGTGGAGCGGCCCCCCATGCACCAGGAGTTCACCAAAGAGATGCCTGGTCAAGGAACACGCCCAGGATGAGGGCTTGATCCCCAGTAGGGGGCGTGCAGGAGGCAGACCATCAGAGGTTCTCTCTCATCATTGAAGTTCCCATCCCTCTCTCCCTCTCCCTTCCTCTCTCTGACATCAGAAAAATAAATGCCGGGCTGGATAGGAATTCGGGGCTGAGGTTGCTCAACTCTCCACCCAGAACATCATCGGGCTGGAGTGGCGGGAAAGCCCAAGCTTTGGCTTCAAACAAACTGAGTTCAGACCCAACCTCAGAGGATGAGGATGGGCGCCAGCTCACAAAAGCATTGTGAGAATTCAGTGAGATGACACGGGGAGCACAGAGCAAAGAGCTCAGCCGCGAGGACAGAATGTAAACAGCACTTAGCTGCTTCCATGCACGCCCCGCCCCCCCCTCCACCGCCCGGCCCTGCGAAAAGGAAAGGTCAGGCCCTAACCAGTTTAGCACAGTGGAGAGAGCATCGGACTGCGAACTAAAGGTCCCAGGTTCGAATCCGGTCAAGGACACATGCCCAAGTTGTGGGCTGGCACCCCGCGGGGGTGGTGCAGGAGGCAGCGGAACCACGATTCTTTGTCCTCATAGATGTTTCTATCTCTCTCTCCGTCTCCCTTGTTCTCTCAAATCAAGAAAAATAGATTTAAAAAATACAAAAGCAAAGGTTGGTGAGAGGTCTTTTCTAACACATCCCCACCAGCCAAGGTGCTTGTCCCTGTTAAATGCCTCTGGCTTCCTCTCGGCCTCTGGGTGACATTCCCTCACAGTTTTGGGGCACAGATGCCAATGAGGACCCACTCGGACATGGCTGAGCCCCA